TCCTGCTCCTGCATGGAGTTATTTGTTCTTGGGACATGACCTAGAATAGCAGCCAAAATCTCAGGCTCCACACTCAGTTAACCCTCTGAGCACAACCCACTGCTGTTAACTCTGCCCTTTCCCCTCCTCGCTGTGCAGGAACTGTGTAGCTGTTGTTAAAGCTCTTTGCTCTTCATGTTTCCATTCTTCTACGAGCTGGTTGGAGAAAGAGGCCTGTGAAATGCCTGAGCTGTGCTCATACACGGGAAAGATGCCTAAAAACCAGGAAACCCTAGGAAATTCTCATGAATCCCAAGGATCAGACCTATCCCCTTGTAGCAACATCATCATCCACAGCTCTGCATATGTTTTAGGCAGAGATGCCCGTACTCTGCTCCTCTTCACTCTTAAATCCCACCTAAGAAATGGAGGCACCTGGAGCTTCTGGGATGCTTTCCCCCCCGTTGGATGCACTGAGATGAGGGCCACCCCCACCCCCCACCCTCGCGTTATACCGGGGGTTAAAGGGCCTTAGTGCAGCTCCCTGGTGGTCTAGTGGTTAGGATTCGGCGCTCTCACCGCCGCGGCCCGGGTTCGATTCCCGGTCAGGGAAATGTGGTTTTCTCGGGTGTTTCTTTCTCTGCTTTTTGTTTTAATTTAGCAGAACCCGCTGTACAACGTGCGCAGCCCCCACCCTCCCCCCTTCCTTTCCTCGCCGTCCGGCGCCAGAGCGCTCCCGGGTGCTGAGTCTGCCCGGATGGGATTTGGAAGAGTGGGAGGAACAACCCAACCCTGCCAGGATGGAGTTTTTCCTGCTGCGTTTTGTCTCCAGAGACTCCCCATCCCAAAATCCCCCCTTACTCATCACACTGGCTGCGTCCTGTCGCTGCTCACAAGCTGCACCATCCGACCCCAATCTAGTGCCCGGCTAGCTCAGTCGGTAGAGCATGAGACTCTTAATCTCAGGGTCGTGGGTTCGAGCCCCACGTTGGGCGATCAGCTTTTTATACCTTACTGAAACAGTTTAGGGCTGTCTCGCACAGGATGGAACATGAGGCTGGGAGATATCATAGGTAATGACGTTTGTATCCCAGCAAACCCAGTGTTTTATGGGATTGGAGGGGGGCTTCCTTTGCTTTGAGAGGTGGAAATGCCTTTTTATCTGCCTTCCTTTTCGTCCTTTCCATCATTTGTTTTAAGTTCTCCTTCAACCTCTTCACACTGCAGAGTGAGTCCTATCTGCTCTCATCTCAAAGTCCAACATTATGCTATTTATTATTGCTTTATGCAGTCTTTGAGTCTTTGTAAACCTCTCCAGACTGGAACTGGGTAATAAAGAGGAGCAAAATCCAGCCCCAGGTGAACAACAGGGTGTACCTGTTCTCAAAGTCCCAGGAAACCCCCGTTCTTTGCCTCACAATGCTTCTAAACACATCCATTTAATCAACGTAATGCCCTATTTTCTCATTTAATGCCACAGATTGAGGCATCCTTTGTGGTTTAGACCCAAGCCTTTTGGCCTGGCCCATGTGCTGCATGAGGCCGTGTCGTGTTTGCCCAGGTGCGAGCGGCAGCATTGTTCCCACCAAACAATGTCCCCCGTTGGCTCCGAGGTCGTTCAGGTCCTGGCTCAGCCCTGGGGAGGGATAAAGGCAGCAGGGACCAGAGCCGGGGGGAGCTTGGACCACAGAAGGGAAGCAGAGTCTGGTAAGGGACCATCTCTGGGGGGTTATTTGGGGTTTGCTTTGTGTCTCCTGGCGCCATCCCAACACCCCCCCAAAACCTCCCATTCCTTTGAATCCCCCTATTTCCACACCCATAAATGGGGTTGGTTTTTGCTGAATCAGCATCAAATTTACCCTTTTGGGGAGAAAAAGGGCAGAAATGGGGCATTTTGGGAGCCCGGCTAGCTCAGTCGGTAGAGCATGAGACTCTTAATCTCAGGGTCGTGGGTTCGAGCCCCACGTTGGGCGCTTGGAGTTGTTTTTATTTGCCCAAATCTGCCTGGTTCTGGGTGCGAAATGCTGGTTCTGCATCTAAGCAAGAGGTGGAGGCACCTTAGGATGTATCTCTACTCGTTTTGACTCAGAAAGGGCATCACAAACCTCTGTGAGGGCTTTGCCTGGTTGGTTTCCTCCCCTGCTAAAGGCTGATCACTGAGGAAACTCATTACAGGGGTTAACAGAGCACCCGAGCTGTTCTCATCCGTAGGTCACCCTGTGCTGGGAGATCAGGATCCATCCCCTTTCCCAAGATGAAGGTGCTCTTCGTGGCGCTGACCCTTGCTCTGTTCATTGGGGTTGGTAAGTGAAGGGTCACAGTTGAGCTGGACTTAATAAGGGGCAGAGGGACACCTGATGGCGGTTGGATGGGTCTTGCCAAGCTCAAGGCAGGGATCTGCAGGGCCGGGGTTATGTCTGTCTGCAAAGCTCTGCCAGGAAGCGTTGAGTGTCCATGAGCATCACTGGGCTCTTGTTCTGTGAGTGAAGGGGACACTTGGTCCCATCCCTGGTGACCTCCACATCTCCTCTGGGATCCCCCCATCTCATTGTAGGGGTGTTTGAAGCAAACACACACACACACACCCTTGCAGAATGGAGCCCAAGTTCATCCCCTCTTCTCTGCCTGCTGCAGTTGAGGCTCTTCAATGCAAGGTCTGCAAGTACAAGATCCCCTTTGTCGGGTGCTTCCGGGGAGCGAATGAAACGACCTGTGAGCGGAGAGAGAAATGTGCCATCATCAAAACCTCCCTGGGTATGATGGGGGGGGTCAAAGCCACCCGTTTCCTTTGGTCGGGAGGGCTCGTGCTTGTCTTGGGGAAGCTAAAACGCTTTGCAGAGTGAATGAGGACGCAGTGATGAGCCTGATGTGGGGAAGGGGCCACATCCCTTCTCCCAGTGGAGGCTGCCCTATGTATGGGTGAACAAGTCCCTTTTAGGCAAAGGAGAGGCTCGGTCTCCCCAAGTGGGTTTTTGTCTATGTGGGAACGTGGCTCATGTAGCTCTTTCTCCTCATTAAACCAAGCAAGGTGTGACTTTATGTGGGTTTAAGGGGCTGATTTCTTACCTGCTGACTTCACAGTTGTCATAGTCTGGTTTGGGTTGAAGGGACCTTCAAGCTCCAACCCTCAGGGACACCTTCCACTAGAGCAGGTTGCTCCAAGGTCCAACCTGGCCTTGAAGCCCACCATTGGGTTGTATGAGCTCAGTGCTGCTCCCTTCTAACCACGGCCCCTCTCCCAGGGAAGGTGACCCTTTACTACCAGCAAGGCTGCACCTCTGCCATGAACTGCGGCCGGGAACGGGCATCCGATGCGGAATCCCGCCTGACAT